TCATTTGTTTTTGAATAATGTTATGGGATCTTTAATGTTCACTTATACAGGCAGATGGGACCTTGGATGGCACCCTTGACAATGCAGTGCTCCCCCAACATAGTATTAGAGATCAGAATGACAGCCTTTTTTATGAACTGGAAGTGGCACTTGGAACCCACTAGTTTTCGACCAAAATATAAGAGTGCTACCAACCGAGCCAGGCTGACTTAATAGTTTGATTATTACAATAAGTTTTATTGAAGCAGAAATTCATCTGCAATGCAACCAGTGAATATCTGATAGAATCTCTCTTGTACACCTATAGTCCCCCAAATTCCACCAATTTTGAGTTTATGAGTATGTGGGTGAATCCGCTGCCCATGTACTCACCCGTACTAAACTCCGTACCCCCATCACACCAGTTCTAGCCAGGCTGCAATGGCTCCCTATCGCCGAACAGATCGATTTCAAGATCCTCACACTTGTTTCAAATCCCTTCATGCCCCGTGTCATGCTCCGCCACTGTCAAACGGTCTGGGACACTAACCTCCATGAGGGGCGCTATATAAATTTAAGTTGTTGTATGAGAATGTTTTGTCTTAATCGTCTTAAGATATAAGACTGTGCACAATTGCATAAAATTCTTAAAGCTGGTTTATTGCAGTCATTAAAATGAACTATCTTCTTAATTACAAATCTTCCATGATCTTAACATTTAAGACAAACATAGTCTTTCATGCTGAGACTTGATGGAATTTTGATTTGCTGCAACCTGTGAGTGTGCATTAAAAATTTACAAAGAACAGCCAATCTCCCAGAATTCATACATCCACACATCACCATTACTCAAGTGAATTTAAGCAACTGAAATAGAACTAGAGTAGAGAGTTTTATGTACTCGTAAAAATGCAGAATAACCTAATAAATAAGAATGAGAGCAACTTAATTGTACATGTTTGCTGATACAGGGTGATTCTGTTCACGAAACAGCACAATTTCTGGACTGAGATAACTTGAATGTTTAAATAATTTCACTGAAATGAAGGGCATATTTTTATCCCATTCCAAATCAACCATTATGGCAGCCATGAAACTGAATATCAATTACTAGGGCATGAATTATACATTTTAATGCTGTAAGCAATTTTCCATAAGGGTGAAAATTGCAGAGTGTGATGTGAGAATTATCACTGGCCAAAATGTTAAAAGATTAATTGTGGTCGAGATCATTTTGTCTATACAACTCAAGAGCTCAATAGCCTTGTCAGAATTATGAATGACTCCAAATTTCTAAGTATATCTGAATACTGCATTCTACAAATAAATTGCTTTGCCACATTAACTTCTACACAGAGTTTGGTGAGAATGTGAAACTCGCTGCCAGGAACTTAATGTACAATGCCAAATCATTTACAGTACTGGTAGTGTTTAAACACCAACTAGTCTGTGAGCATATTCCTGAGCCCAGGAGACCACCATGATGTTGATATTCAGCCATTGCACCATCATGTGTCCTGCCATTTATTTGGTTATTTCGAAGATATTAAATCAGAGAGGAACTTCTTAAATGAATTTACCCTTTGTCAGTCTCCAAGCTAGACATTCAAAGCAACTTCGATGCAGCATTGACTCAGTTTGTAAAGATTGTTCAAATGATCTCTGACATCAATTTAATTATTTTGTAGAGTGTTTCCAGACATTCTTTTATGTGTGTTTGACCTTCATGAAAATTAATTTTAAATGATCTAGAATAATATCCATTTAACCTTTCTTAAAATAACATTACATTTTCATGGTTCAGGAAGAAAGAATATGACTAAGGATTCAGATATTTCTAAGAGTTGCATCTATCATAACTATTTACCATAAAATGGCTTGCCATTAATAATGAAGTAGGTTTGTGCCTTTAACATGTGCAGCTTCAACGATAGGTAGTCCAGCCTTCACTCATGTGAAAGACTTTGTGAGTTGCTATCAATAATTTAAATATATTCTGAATGAGTCTCCCAATAAGTAAGGCTTATCTTTCTTTTTCACCTCCTAGCAGATGCAATCCCCAGTTGAAAGTGTGGGCTAGTTCCAATGTTCCTCTTCCATGAGCTGCTGTGAGATGTTTAACATCTCCAGGAGTTACCCAGCTAAGATCAAGATTCAGGATGCAGGAGACTTGCACTACCCAATGAGATTCAATTACTTTTAACTCTTAAATTTTAATTCAGGGTTATTTTGCTGTCTGTTTAGATAAGGATCCTATGGCACAATATGAAAGATATGAGTTTCTCCCATGTCCTGGCCAACAATCCCCCAAATAAAGTTGGTCATTAACTCCACAGCTGTTTGTGGGGCATTGCTGTGTGCAAATTGCCTGCTGTGCTTGCCCACAAAACAGATACAGTCAAAACTATGCTGCAGTATATCCTGTGAAGTGCATTGAGATTGCTTGGCAACATGATAAGACACTATATCAAAGACAAGGATTATTATTATTTTAATCAGTGATCTGGGCTAAATACAGGTATTTTGGTTTGCTTCACTAAGTTATAATGAATGGAAGATAAAACTGAAGAATATATGTTTCTGGAACTTCCAGCACAATTGTGTTATTCTGCTACGCAAACTCCCTGCATGTCGGTCTCCCAAACTCCTCCCTCCGTAGGCTGCAGATCATCCAGAACTCTGCAGCCGTATCCTCTCCCGCACCAAACTACACGACACTTTCACCCCCATTCTCGCCCGACTCCACTGGCTTCCCATCATACAGGGGTACAGTTCAAGATCCTGGTTTACACTTTCAAAGCTCTCCATGACATTGTTCCCCCCTACATTTGTGACCTCTTAACTCCTACCCACCTGTTTGCTCCCTCCGCTCAGCGGGCTCTGGCCTGCTTCATGTACCCCGCCTTGCCCACCCCATCAGTGGCGGGCAGGCCTTTAGTCACTCTGCCCCCACCCTCTGGAACTCCATCCTGCAGTCCTTCCGCCTCGCCTGCTCCCTTGCCTCCTTCAGGACCCATCTCAACACCTTCCTCTTCGACCGTGCCTTTAGTTATCCTCCTTTCCCCCCCCTGCCCCCCATCCTCCCCAATTCCCGACCCTCAGCTCGGGTCCGAAACACTGCTTATCCAGTGCCCTGGGATGTCCTCCTAGCATGAAAGGTGCTATACAAATGTAATTTTGTTGTTGCTGTTGTTATGTATGTCAGGTGAAAAAAGCAGATAAGGTGGAGTTTAAGCGCTCCATCGTATCTGCGGCGCTAGCCCGTGTGAAGAGCGCTATATAAATGCAAGTTGTTGTTTTTGAGTTCAAGCAATATTAAGTTTTTTTCTGCCAACACTTGGTAAAATCCACAATGTACTCGAAAGTCCATACAAGGCATCTTAACTTGTAAAACAATGCTTCAAACCATAATTCCCACTTTCCGCTTCCTTCTTGGTACAGGTTAATGCACTGAAACTATGCGCTCCACAATCGGAAACATCAATGACGGCAGTGAAATCTTCCAGCTCTTAATGTGATACTAGTTTAAACCAACAAAATATTATCCAGCTGATAAGTTGCAAACTGGTAATCTAGGTGGCAATCTGCTTTACACTTCCCTAAGGACGCTTTTGGACAGATCTAAATTACCCTTGAGTAGGTACTTGGGAAATAAGATTGTGAAACATACATTATAATAATATAAAATTCAAAATATTTATTATAAAGTGTGGAGAAAAGGTGGGGAAATGGAATTAAAAGATCTGCTATGATCTAAAAGCAGAAGAAGCTATAAGAAGTGGTGGGATGTATGGCCTACTCCTGTTCCTGTATACCTGCATTATCTGTAAGCTTTCAGGCCACATTTGTGATTGTGGTAGTCTGCATTGGTGTGCACCTGGAAATAGTACATTCATGTTACAACACTTTCAGGATGGAAAGCTGTCTGGTGTAAACACAAATTGAGTGTTGGTGTTTAGATTTACAAGATTAACAACAGGAAAAGGGCGTAGATTTTATAAGTTTTGTGATGACAGTCACAAAGTATTGTCCATTTGCTAAATGTCCTTGAGAGCGATTCTCCAGTTGTCGGTACATTTACAAATCTTGATGTGTGAGAACATACTTTCCATCTGCCCACAGATTTATAGTGTGTAACATTGTAAGTTTGTAATGGGAAATCCAGATTTATAAATCAGCGGAGAGTACACTGTTCTCACTTACCAAGGATAGTTATTCACAAACGGATATTCAAGACAGTTGTCTAAATTAGTCCAACAAGGGTTATAGATCTAACAAGGACTAGCTTCTTACTTTATCATAATAATAATCTTTGTATTTGATATAGAGCCTTATAACGTTGTTTAGACACCTTAAAGTGCTTCATAGGATATATGGTAAAATTAATTGACTATATTTTGTGAACGAAACACGGCAGCCAATTGTGCATAGAAGTGTCCCACAAACAGTCACGGATTGAATGACCGGATATTTTTTAAGGGAATATTACCCTGGAAAGTGATCTGCCAATAAACTAACCACTGGGTTCCTACAAGGTAAACAGAGGCATGTGAGTAAGGAAATTTACCTAAGGTTTTGACCTGCCTGGGAATCAAACCCGATCCTCTCGCTTGCGAAGCGAGTGCTCTAACCAATACGCTACAGAACTCCATAAAGTTACTTTAATTTGGAAGAGTTGCAGTTTTGATAATTTCATATGTTCATTGTGCCAATTAGACAATTATCATCATTTGGAAAAGAATGTAATTGTTTATATTGGTTGCTATGCTATGTTATCAAATAAAGTTCCTGGAAGCATTGGCTAGACTACAAAAATAATTGTCAAGGAAAATGAAAGTTAAGCTTGAGGAAGTCAAAATAATACATTATACTAATTTCCATCTATTGTGTGTTAGGAGGGAGTAGGCATGTATTGATGACCCTTATCAGCTTCCTGAGGCTGCTGTCGGCATGGGTTGTGATTAAGGCTGCAAAATCTCGGGCTTTTCATCAACAACACTTTCTTCCTTTGTGGTCCACAGGCTGTCAGTGACTAACCGTTCCCTGATGCCACACTGTGATATGGACTCGGATAGCTCGGAGGAGTTCTTCCAGGCTGTGAACCATGCGGAGCAAACCTTTCGTAAGATGGAAATCTACCTAAAGCAGCATCAACTGTGTGATGTCATCCTGATTGCTGGAAACCGAAAGATACCTGCTCATAGGTAGGGCTCAAACCCATTTCTCCTACCAGCTCACTCTGACTTTATCCAGGCAGCTCAGTTCGATACAAAAGAGAATCACACAGTAAATAAACAAATTGGAAGCAAGTTGTGAGTTTTAATAACAATAATAATAAATAACCGTTACATTTGATAAAGCGCCTTTTATGTCGGGAGGACATCTCAAAGAGCTTCACAGGATTTACTGTGTACATTGTAGGCAAACTAAATCTATCTAAAGCAGCAGAAGTTGTAGAAGTTCATTAACTAGTCAATTAATAATTGAATACTTTGGGGAAATTTTTGCACAAAAGCTGATATTTGCTGCTAAATTCAACATATAGAACACATTCAAAGTTTCAAAGATTAATTTTAACTTGCCCCATGCTGTATCTATTATTACATTTATTAAATAGATTCTGGATAAAAAAAAACAGACATGTTTGAATCATAAGACTGAAGGTGATTTCAGAAGGAAATCCAATTGTGCGTTAAAGCAACTGATGCAACAAATTCTAGATTTCTATTCCATGTCATCATTTAGATTGTATGTTTAAGTGCACGAAAACCTGAAAGAACTAGAGCAGTTTGAAATTTCAAAATATTATTTTACATTTACATTTTGGTAGTTAGTCATCTTGGAATAGTCTCAGATGGAGATACAATCTGTAAATTTACTTTTCATCTCTATTGACATAAAAGTGCATTATAATAAATTTATATGTTGAATTTAACAGCAAGTATCAGCTTTTGTGCAAAATTTCCCCAAAGTATTTAATTATTAATTGACTAGTTAATTAACTTCTACAACTTCTCCTGCTTTAGATAGATTTATGATTAATACACCTCAATTAAAACATTTCAACTCACTTGTAACTTGTGCATGCAACATATCACCAACAGGACATGTCCAAGACATTACACCAAAGAACCGGTTTGATTCACCCACGCTTTGAACAATTTCAGTTTGTCTAAACGCACCCATCTCAAACTAGAAATGATATCGCTGCATACCCAGCAGTATAAAAAGCCACAAGTCATGAAGAATAATATTATTATAATTTAAAACAAAGCATACTGGAGAACTGAATGCAATATTTTGCCATGACTTTCTGATGGAAATTTCTACTGTAGATATTGAGCTAATTAAATGAAACAGAAGGATACTGCAAGAGAATGGTTACACAAGGAATGCTAATAGATTGTAAATGGTTTCTTCAGGCTGAATTCATCTTTCTTGGTGAGGTGCAGAAGCCTGAATTGTTCCACACTGATGATTCATTTGAAAATCACACAAATGAAATGCACAATAATTCCCCCACCTTTCGCCGTTAGTGAGATAACAATCCTCAAGTATTACCACCATGTAGAAATCACAGCTCTAGTCTCATGAAAATAATACAATGGGGACCTGAAATAATTAGAGCAGAAAGCGCTTTGGATACAGAGATTGTGAATCATATGGTTGTAGGTATTCAATAATTTTGCAATGCTGGAGGCAGACATTTACAGTCCATTAATTTGACAGAAAGCACTTAGTTTCTGCCAACAGGTAAACATGGAAGTGATGTTCAGATTTGCTAATTGTAATACATAAATAATTATCAGTCTAGGTGGATAGATATACTCAACTTTTTTTATAAAATGAGACAAAACAAAGTGCATGATTAAATTATCGCCTATTCTACAGAAACTGCTACATTGACAGGAAAAAAATGTTACTTGAACTTTATTAACTATTTAAAAAGTTAAAGATTTATCTTTACAGAAAAACAGATTTATATTTCTGCACTTGAGAACTGTTTATATTAAGCCCATAGCTTTAGATTCTTTGTTCAGTCTTATATAATCTGCTAACTTTTACATAATCTTTCAACAGTTAAAAGACCCAGATCATGCCCTCCTGAATCTTAATTTGAGGATATATATTTAACTATGCTAGTAAGATCTAAATTTCAGGATTATCCTTATTACTTTATCTGAAACAAAGATTAGACCTGAGCCAATTCAAAATGTTAGGGCTGCCATTGTTGTGTTCAATCGCAAGTTTGCCTATGAAATATATAGTCACTGCACTCTACAGTAAATCCTGTGAAATGGTTGGAGACATCCTCCTCACAGGAAAGTTAGCTATACCAAATGTAAGGATTATTTTCATTATTGTTATGGGGCACAACATTAAAAAACCTCCAAAATTGCATATCAATGGGGCTTTGCCAGGTACATGCTTACCATCAGCCTAAAAACTTAGATCTTTCATGTAATTATAGAGGATATTCTTGAGGAACAAATATTTATTTTATTTTCATAATGAAACGTAAAGAATAATAATAAATGCCAGTGTCAAGGAAATTGTATACCATTCACTCATTGAAATAAAGGGATGGAAACTGCAATTTTAATGGATTCAATGTGCCAAAATAAACCATTACAATTTCACTTTACAATTATCTAAGTTGGTTACCTAGAATTGTTCTATCCAGAACAACACCCTAGGCCTTTTCATGCTATTTTTAGACTCTTCAAATGGAAAAAGACAGAAGACAAAATGTTATGGTGTGAGTTTTAATACTTTCCATGAATGTAAGCATTCTATCAGCTCTCTCCAGAGATCATTGGTCACTGCCTTTATAATCCCCTGAGCATCCCAAACAAACAAGTCTTGATGCTAAAGTGAACCATAAGGTACCATAAGGTATCATGATATTGCATGATATTTTAGTTCTGTTGTCTAAAATGAAAAAAAATGCTGTCTACGAAAATAAGAAATAAGAGTCTTAAGGCATCAGTTCTGTACAGCGGATCCATAGACTAAACATTATCCCAGAAAGTTAGTGTTGAATTATATTTAAAAAATGCCATACTTTAGAGTTCATTCAAGTACTATAATGAGAGTTGTCAATATCAACTTTAGTATCAGGAGGACGTCAGGAACAGTAACTGACTAATTTCATGGAACTCATCAATCCTTTATTAAAATAAAGCTGTGAGAATTTATTGACTCAGCACAAATGATGCTAATTTACTGAGTGCTCATCTTAGCTTATAATAATAATAATCCTTGCATTTGATATAGCGCTTTTCACGTCTTCTAGACATCTCAAAGCGCTTCGCAGAATATACTGTAAAGTGAATTGACTTTGTGGGCGAACGCGGCAGCCAATTGCTCACAGCAGTGTCCCACAAACAGTCATAGATTGAAAAGGACCAATTTATTATTGTTTTGGGTTTTTGGAGGGATTATTATTAGGCTCTGTGTGGAGTAAGGAAAATTGCCCAAGGTTTCGCCCTGCCTGGAATTGAACTCAGGTCTCTCACTTGCAATGCGAGTGCTCTAACCACTGAGCAACAGGACTCCACAAACCTTCAGACATGACAGAAGGAAGCATTGTAACGTATATCTTGACTACAGACAGGTAAAATCAATTGGGTTTGATATTCAATTCAACAAAAGACAGATTTCACAACTTTGCTTTTCCATGACGAGCAATAAAATAAATCCTTACTAACAATATAAAATTAACCAAGAATAGATTCTGTCATGGTTCACTGGTGCCATTATGCCTTAAGGTATGTTTTTTTTAATGGATTCCTTCTGTCAATTCTTCACAGCTAATTAAAAGACACTAATTTAATTAGATCCCTTGTGGTGCTTCTTTTCCCAGACTTGTTCTAAGTGCCGTCTCAGACTACTTTGCTGCTATGTTCACGAGCGATGTTTGTGAAGCCAAGCAAGAGGAAATCAAAATGGAGGGCATAGACCCTAAAGCATTGTGGGATCTTGTTCAGTTTGCTTATACAGGTACAGTATATTGAATGACATATTTATTACTATCTACCAGAATGTATAACCAACGGTGTATGGATTGTGTTTTTAATGAAGGTCGGGTTCCCATTAAGTCCCCTATACATTTGGGCTCAGAGAAGATCATCATCATCATGTTAATTACTAATTGGCACTTTACATTTGTTAGTGTATTCATCACATGCAATCTTATGCTACATTTACATGACCACATTATCTCTGGAGGCGAGTTTATCTGTGGTGGTAATCTGTACAGTATTGTAAAAATGAAATTTATCAAGCTCTGAGTCGAATCCGCTTTTCCTCCACATAATACAGGAGATCAGGTGACAAGAGTGAAGGCTGTACCAAGTGAGCCAGGCGGCGGTCTGCACATGTGCGGACGTCTGTATGCCATTGTGTGGGTATTGCAATAACATCAAGAGGTTTGTGCATCTCACGATCTGCATTAGAATTTTTTGGGAGGATCTTCACTAGTTAAATAATAGAAGTGGAATCACAGAAAAAGCCAGGAGTAAAGCCATTTGATTTCCAACAACAACAACAACACAATTACATTTGTAAAGCACCTTTCATGTTGGGAAGACAACTAGAGAAGTTTCCATCCTGTGAGCAGCACGGAAACTCGATTGGAGGGTCTCGTGAAGGAAGTGCTAGGAGAAAAATGAGAGAAGCTGGGAAGCAATGACTCTTTCAAGAAACTTCAAAAGATATGAGAGATTGGAGATCTGCCATTAGTAAGAAAGCAGGAATGGGTCCAGGAAAGGTGTTTAGGATGGGGGTGATTGTAGCTGTTTTTAGGGGCATGGGAATGGTGCCAGATGAAAGGAAGCAATTGATGGTGTCAGAGTAGAGGGGCGAGGAGTTGGAGCTGGGAGGAAGGAGTGGGGTGGGGATGGGGTCAAGAGAGAAGGTGGTGTGTTTCATGCTGGATATGGTGGTGATGAGAGAGGAGGGGGAGACACATTCGAAAATGTGGAGGGAGGGATGGGTAGGTGTCAGAGTTTGGGGGTGAGATGGAAAGGGAGTGGTGGTTGGGAAGACGGAGGCAGCTGAATGGATCCCCTTGATTTTGGACTCGAAGAAATCCAGCTTCTCCTCACAGTCAGAGCTTGAAGAGAGAATCGGTGAAGCGTGGGAGGATGGATGGAGGAGCCGGTTGGTGGTGGAGAATAGCCTGGGGTTGTCCTTTGCTTCCTATTAGATTGTCTTGGAGTAGAAGGATGATTTGGCAGAGGCAAGGGCAGAGCCATATGTTTTGATGTGGTCCAGCCAGATCTGCCAGTGGACCGTTAGGTCAGACTTGAGCCAGGTGCATTCGGCGGACTACACCTGACCCTTGAGGGAGCGGAGGTGACTGGTGTACCAGGGTGAGGTTCGTGAGTAGGAGGCGGTTTGGGAGGTGAGGGGGGAAAGGACAGGGATAGTGGTGAAGATGGAGTTGTGGAGGAGAGTGAGCGAGGGGGATAAATCAGTGTGGGAGGTAGGCCAGAGGGGGAAGAGTTCAGATGACTCCAGGACAGCGGAGAGGGATTGCGGGAAGATTTTTTTCTAGGGTGGTAGGAGATGGAAGTGGATTTGGTGGTGGTGGGGAGAGGGATTGAGGAGTTAAAGGAGATGAAATGGTGATCTGAGATGGCTTTGTCTGTGATTGTGATATCCGAGACACTGAGGCCCCGGGTAATCACCAGGTCGAGTGGGTGGCAATGAAATTGGGTGGCAAAGTGAATGTGGAGGGAGAGGTTGTGAGAGGAAAGGAGAGGGAGAGAGGAGAAGTCTGAGGAGATAGAGCAGGGTGGGGTGAAGTGAAGGTTGAAGTCGTCTAGGATGAGGAGGCGTTCAGAACAGTGGCAGAGGCAAGCTAGGAGGGTGGAGACGTCAGAGATGAAGGTGGGGGAGGTTTTAGAGGGGACAGTGAATGAGGAGAATTTTGAGGGAATGATTGGAGGGATGGTAGAGTGAAAGGTGCTCAAATGAGGGGAATGAGCCCGAAGCGTAAAGCAGATCTCCGAGTCTTTACCATTATTTGCCGACTTAGTGGAGACAACTCCAAAACATTCCAATGGTGGTTTGTGTAAGCATGAATATTTTAACATCTTTATGATACCTACATTCAGGATGTTCATTCTAAGTGCAAAAATAAAAACATAATTTGTCCCAGGTGGTCTGGAGGCTGTTTAAAAATATTGGCTTCTCTTTTTCAGGGTGACATTTAGAGCTCCAGAACCACAGTGTAAAAGCGGAATTAAAAGTGATAGCGTTACGGATAAAGGAGTGGAAATTGTGATATTGTGATGTGTTACTTAACATCAATGGTATAAATTACAATATACGCTGACTTTCATGATTTTATAACATTTAACACATTAACTGGTCCCCAGGTATGCAAATCCCCAGCCTCCCGCCATCTTTCCCTGACACTGTTTTAAATAGCCATGTCATGCATTCTACTTATAGTTAACAGATTGTGGCTTTGGACTGTTGTGTACAGGGATGCTAACTTAAGAAACCAAAAAATCTAAGTTGTGTTGGCAGTCTGCTAATCAATAGTCAGCAGAGTGGTTTTCAACACAGTGGATCAGTCTATAATTATTGACTAGTTTCACCACATTGTTTGGCAATGATATTTATCACTTATGATAATTATCATATGGCATTGCGTTTTTCACCTCCTAATATATATTACAGAGAAAATTGCAGAGGAAATGTAGCCCTTAGCTTTTTCTGAAACAAAGTTACATTTTTCTGCACATATCGGAAATTCTGGAAATGTGACTATAATAATAATAATCCTTGCATTTGATATAGCGCTTTTCACGTCGGGAGGACTTCCCAAAGCGCTTCACAGAACACACTGTAAAGTGAATTGACTGTATATTTGTGGGCGAACGCGGCAGCCAATTGCGCACAGCAGTGTCCCACAGATAGTCGTGGATTGAAAATGACCATTAATATTGTTTTTGTTTTTGGAGGGATTATTATTAGGCTCTGTGTGGAGTAAGGAAACTTGCCCAAGGTTTCGCCCTGCCTGGAATTGAACTCAGGTCTCTCGCTTGCAAAGCGAGTGCTCTAACCACTGAGCTACAGGACTCCATGTATATAGTTTGTGTATATTGGTTTGCCAATGAGGAGGAAATGTATTTTTTTTAAAAAGATTGTAAATTATAAGTGTTGTGTAGGGCCATTTTAGTGATGATTCCTTTATATTGACTTTGTTTTGCGTTTCGCCCACAAAACACACAGTCAATTCACTTTACAGTAGTGAAGTGCTTTGAGATGCCTCAACAACGTGATAAGGTGCTACATAAAATGCAATTATTATTATTAAACAAACCAAAACTAAAATAAATCAATAGTTATGGGGAAGACTTTTCTATTGCATTCTAGCATGAGTGTAATGTTGAGTGTAATTTTGTTATGTTGTGTAATGTATATATCTTGAGCCAGCAAGATTATACATTTCAACTTACCAGTCTTTAGCTGAGCAACCAATAACTTTGCCTGCTCATCACCTTTATCACTAGTTTCTGGCCGTAGGAGATGCTGTTTGCTGATGCAATGTTAAATTGAGTTGTCAGAAAATTTTGTGAAAAAAACTGGAGATTGTAGGCAGGAACCTGTGCTGGTTTGATAAGGAGCTAGGTTTATATAAAAACAGCTGCCATACCTGCAATAAAATTGAGGAAGCTTGGAAATTATACTGTCATATAACTGACCTTGCTGCCAATGAGCCTTGTTAAGCTTCTGTGTGCAAGCATTACCTTTGCTAAAAAATAATTAAAACTTGGAATCTACCTTTGATAAAGATGTGATTATATATATGATTATTATATATATATATTATATATGTATTGTTGTATTATTATTATATTATATATGTGATAATTTTCATGTTTAGAAGACGTGAAAAGCATTATATCAAATGCGAAGATTATTATTATTTCATGAAAGAAGATTCATTAAAACAGAACTTACCTCCACATAAGCAAATCATTCTTCATTTTAAAAAGTTAGTGATTCATTGTGCGAACAAGGCAGCTTACATTCCAGAATTTAGGTAAAAATTTTAATAAATCTTATTTTCTGTTGTAGGTTTGCTTTCTTGAATTTTGACAAACATTGGCAGTTGTATATTCCATTGAATGTAATGTGTAATTGAATTTCAGATAGTTCCCTTAACCATTGCATTTTTTTTGAAATTTAGACTGAACAATATCTGAAAAATGATCAACTGGAGAAATAATTAAATTTTCAGTGCATATTGCTCTTTTAATTTGTAATTCCCTATTACCTAAAGGATAACAGATATACACAAGGGTATAATTGTTGGGATCTTGTTTGCTGTATTTTCGTCTACTGTAGCAACAATACTTATGTGATTTTCCAGAGGCTGGCATGAGGTTGCCAAAAGGTATCTCTATTTGTGCAACTCCAATCCCTTGTTAAGAAATCTCTGTAAGAGATACTGTAGTTCATCCATGTTCATCTAACCAGAATCAGATTATATTATAAACAGAAAATGCTCTGTTTTACAATGTACTGTGATTCAGAATCCAGATTTCATATCCCTCTGTGGCCATCATGTCACACAATACATGATTTAGTATAATATACATACAGCAACGAAAGTCAGAAAGCTCATCCCACAACAGCATAGGATGCTCTGTTCATTTTCATGCTGTCCCCCCAAAATTTGGATGTAACAACTACATAATTACAGGGGTTGAATTCCTGGGAGATAACTGTTTATTTTATAGTGCAAGAAAAAAGACAAATATTGTATGTTTATGGATTGATTTTATCAAGACAATTGGGTCCATTATGTGATGATTGTCAATAATAATCATCTTTTCATTACAATAATCCCTGCATTTGGATTTACTGTAAAAGGATCTTTCCCAATTTTAAAAAGAAGCACATTACCCATTATAAACAAATAGCAAAGAGGATGTTAAGTGCTGGAAATAGCCGCATGATTAACCCCAATCTTATAGAAT